AAATATTCTTGAAAAATAGATACCTCGGCTCTCAAGAAAAAGCTATAGTGTTTTAAGTGCATCGAGCCCACAGTAAGCCACACTACAAGTGTATGATATTGTACAGTGATATACCACGAAATATTACAAATATGTTAATGTCACCCAACCCCCCCATACCCCAAGTGTGTACCCTCACCCACAAGCCGAGAGATGCCCGTCTCCTCACCCCCCCCCCACCCTGCCCCCCCAAATCACGTAACCCTCCTGACACCCGGCCACCCCACCACCTCCACGGCCACCCTGCCACCCCACCTCTTCAGCCACCCAACCTCCTCGGCCATCCTGCCACCCCACACCACGTCCGCCCAGCGCCCGCCCAGCGCCCGCCGATGTCGCAGGTCACAGCGAGGCTTCTCTCACACAGGAGGAGCCATCAATCATCAACAGAGAAGGCACATGCCAAGTGTGTGACAGGGTGTGGAATCTCAAGAATAACGGGGATATGCGCAAGCATGCCCACAACGGAACCCTATGTGCAGGTACACGGCGCCCTCCCAAAGAGGGCGTATCAATCAATACCCCACACCAGCAGTCAGGGAAAACACCTCCAACAGCTGCATTTCAACAGAAAACTTACTAGAAGCCATCAAAGTGACATCGGTTGGAACCTTGCAGCACATCCCCAAAGCTGCCCGGCCCCAGGCAGCAGCCAAACTATCCAGCCTCTTGAGAAAGGTTAATGACTCTCCCGGAACCATCCAAGCATGGCGCAACCTTCTCCTGTTTGGTAACATATGTCTAGCTGTCCCTGCAAGGAGAGACAAATCACTAGCTTCCTCAGTCATTATGGCTATAACTAGTTTTCCTAGAGAGGACAACCAGGCACCCCTCCCCACCCATGCCAAAAACACACACGGCAGGAAAGGTATCAGCAGCAGAACCGAGGCATCCAAAATCAGAGCAACAGTCAGCAAGAAAATAGAAGAAGGCAACACAGTATATAGATCAGAGTCATCACCAGTGAAGACACAGTTGCCACCAGGGATGCCGATACAGCACAAGCCCTGAGGGAAAAACACCCACCCAGAGCTCCTCGTGATGACAGTGTTCCCCTAGTCGGTGTCACCAGAGCAGAACCCCTGTGTGTGCTTGAATCCAAGGTGTGTAAAGCAGCTTTATCCTTCCCACCAGGATCACCAGGTGGGTTCACAGGATTAAGACCCAACCACATCAAATGCTCAACCCTGCACTGGGAGACATTGCACAGGGCCTCCTGGTGAATCTAACTAGATTCTCCAACACATGTCTAGCTAGCAACATACCAGAGACCATACTGCTTCTAATCAGACCGATAGCTGTGGGCAATTCACTCCGGCGCCTCGTCGCTAAGGCTGCTGCTAGAACAGTTAGTCAGGCAGCAGCCGACATGCTGAAGCCAAAACAGCTTGGGTTTGGCATTCCCCAAGGGTGTGAGGCAGCGGCTCATGCAGCTAGAGCCTACATTGCCAACATTACGGATGAAAAAAGCGCTGTTAAAACTGGAATTCAAAAATGCTTTCAGTCTGGTTAGAAGGGATGCAGTACTCAATACAGTGCATCGCTATTTTCCTTCCCTCTACCCGTTAGTAAACTCATGTTACAGCAACAATGTAACTCTGTTATTCGTCAACTTTCAAGTTTAATGAAACTGAATCACAAGAAGTTGTCCAACAGGGTGACCCCCTTGCTCCTTTCATTTTCTGCCTAGTCATCAAGAAAGTCACCGATAACCTGTTCAGTGAGCTCAACATTTGGTTTTTGGACGATGGTACTCTGGCTCCCCAGACACCCTCCAGGACGACATAAGAATAATTCAGGAGCAAGGAGCATGCTTAGGCCTCACTCTGAACTCTTCCAAATGCGAAATAACCTCCACCAACCAGCACATTATAGAGCGAATAAAAGGCATTCTGCCGGATATCCATTTAACCAACCCTGAGGACAGCACACTCCTAGGAGCTCCTCTTGGAGGGAATGCCATCGACAAGGTCCTGGGTAAGAAGACTGCCGACCTGAAGAGAATGTATGAGAGGATTGAAGACATCGATGCTCATGATGCACTTTACCTCATCACCAGATGCTTGTCCGTCCCCTGGCTGACTTACTTACTGACTTACTAAAGATGTTCGCCATCTTTCAATAATATTAAATTAGAAGAGTGCGACAGCTTGCTGAAATCAATGTTAGAAAAAACCCTCAACCTTTCTCTCAGTGACTCACAGTGGAAACAGGTCTCCCTTTCTGTCAGACTCGGGGGCCTTAGCGTTCGCACATTGATTTTCCCCACAACAACACCACCACAATAGTAGGGAGGCAATCGATGAGTGTTTTTTTTTCCATCCAAGAAAATGGATGGCTTATGAGTGATTTTTTTCGGCCCAGGAAAATGAACGGTTTATGAGTGATTTTTTTTTTTTGACCCAGGAAAATGGACGACTTATGAGGGGGTTTTTTCATCCCAGGAAAATGGATGACGTATGGACGATTTTTATTTTTTGGAAAAGAGGACGCTGTGTCCCACCTATTTGAGCCCTAAAATGTTTCAGAGTTCCTATGTTCATAGACGTTCCTTAAAGAAAATTCAGAGGTAAAGTCCGCTCCCGTCTTATTAATAAACTGATTAATAAACTCCCGTCCGCTTGAGTTTATTAATCTATAGTAAAATAGATCCAAATAATTACTGAGCTCCAACTCTCGTCCCCCAACTTAGTTCATTTGTACAAGTTCTTTAGTACCAGGCCAATTTTCCCGAAATTTGAAACAGAAATACTTCTTACTGAGCAAGTAAAGAAAAATAGTGTTACCGATTTCTAGTTCTTGTCCCCTGCCTTAGCTCGTTCCTGTACGTTAATTATTATCAGACCAAATCCCCCTGAAATTTAAGACCGCTATATTTCTGTCGTAGTAAAATAAGATCATGCCAGTAACCGAGCTCCATTTCCCGTCCTCCGCCTTAGTTCATCAAACTTAATTATTTCAGATCAAGCCGCTCTCCAGTCTATCACCTTTATCAAAAGTAAACATTTCCTCTCTATCAATATGCTTGTTCACACGGTAATAAAAATCACACAGTCATATCGCACCTTACCTTTCTCACACCTTTTAACCCCCCCCCATACCTTCCCATCCCTTACCTCCTCTCCCCCTTCCCTTCCTCCCTCCCTTACCTCCCCCAACTCCCTTTCGCCCTCACACCATACTCCCCCTTCATCTCGCCCATTCCCCAACTTATCCAAACCTTCAATAATTCTGCTGTAATTGTATATTCTCTCCCTATTCACTGTGTTCTTCGCATTCTCTTCCATGTTTTCTGTGTTCACTCCATGTTCTGCAAATGTTCATCACATGTTCTCTGTACAACTTTTATACTCACTATTAAGGTTAAGTGGGAAGGTGGGTTTGGGTAAAATATATAGAAGGAGAAACAAAACTATATCTTTAAGCTTAGATTAAGAATATTATATTCAACAAAATATGTCCAACACAATGAACTACATCTGAAAGGTTAGGTTAAAAGTCAAAGAATAAGAACAAATTATATAAACACCAATAACTACACTAAGATCAAAAGAGGTTAGATTAAAGGGGGAAGAATATGAACAATTATATCAAACATAATAAATACAACTTATGAGCAACTTGACGAACTTTAAGTAAAAAAAGATACAAAGTGCATAAACTGTCATATCTAACGAATATCCCTTTAAATGCTAAAATACCGTAACTTTAACAAATAACCCTTGAAATGCATAAACATCCATTTGAGAAATTAACCCTTAAAATGAGTAAATGCCCATATATAACAAAATCCTTTGAAAGTGCTTAAACACCCAATCTTTAATAAATAGCACTTGAAATGCATAAATAACCATTTGAGAAATTAACCCTTGAAACGAACAAATGAATATGAGACATTGATTGACGAAACACTAAAAGATCAACAAGAATATTTAAGTCAAGTGTAATTTAATATTTAAGTCATGTCTAATTGGGTGAGTTGGAATAAGTAAATTGGATTTAGTTAGGTTATGTAAGTTAGGTCATGTCAATTTGTGTAAGTTATGTAAGGAAAGTTACATTAGGCGAAGGAGGTTTGGTTATATAAGTTAAGTTTGGTTAGGTTAGGTTAGATAAGGTAAGTTAGTTAGATTAGGTTAGGTTAAGCGAGTTTAAGTTAGGTTAGGTTATGTAAGTTAAGTTAGGTTAGGTTATGTAAGTTAAGTTAGGTTAGGTAAGTTAGGTTAGGTTAGGTAAGTTATCTTAGGATAGGTTAGGTAAGTTACATTAAGTTAGGTTAGGTAAGCTATGTTAGGTTAGGTTCGATAACATTATGTTAGGTTAGGTAAGTTAAGTTAGACAAGTTATGTTAAGTTAGGATAGGTTAGGTTATGTAAGTTAAGTAAGGTAAGGTAAGTTATTTTAGGTTAGGTTAGCTTAAGTTAGTAAGTTTAAGTTAGGTTAGGTAAGTTAGGTTAGATAAGTTAAGTTAGATTAGGTTACATGATTTAAGTTAGATTAGGTTAGGTTAGTTAAGTTATGCAAGTCAAGTTAGATCAGGTTAGGTAAGTTAGGTTAGTTAGGTTAGGTTAGGTAATGTAAGTTAAGCTATGTTAGGTAAGTTAAGTTGGGTTAGGTTATGCAAGTTATGTAAGTTAGATCAGGTTATGTAAGTTAGGTTAGGTAAGTTAAATTAGGTTTGGTTATGTAAGTTAAGTTAGGTTATGTAAGTTAAGTAAGGTTAGGTAAGTTAAGTTAGGTTAAGTAAGTTAGGTTGGTTAGGTTAGGTAAGTTAGGTTAGGTAAGTTTGATCAGGTAAGTTACATCAGTTAAGGGAGGAATAAGTTAGAATAGCATAGATAGGATGATGCATTGTTATTCAGAGAACAGTTTTAATATAAAGTGACTAAGAAAATATATTTTAACATAAGTGTAAATTTGATATGAAAAGTTAAACTAGTTACATTTGGCAGTGTTATTTAATGCCTGAAGATGTCTTAGAGAACAACATTGATGGACGAAGGAGAGCTTCTTTGATGAACGAAGGTGAGTTAGAAAGTTTCTTTGATGAGTTAGAGAATAACTTTGATGTCTTAATTTTAATTTGAATTTTGCCCCGAGGGGCGAGTTTATTGGGCAGCGCCACTCATCTTGTCAGTGAACATACAGCCATAGCAGCATGTACAACACTCCCCAATAGGAAGAAAACCCGCTGGGTTGTTCATCCTGTCAATTTTGATGTCTTAGAGAACAACTTTGAATACTGTGATTAACTTTTGATAGCTCTGAGAATAACTTTTGATGACTTAGAGAATAACGTTTGAGAACATGAGTAGTATTTTGACGTCTTTGAGTGTCTCTGCTGTCTTGAATAGTAACTTTGGTGTCTCTGAATGTGTTTTTGATGTCTCGAAGAGTGTCTTTGACTATTTTTTGACTGTTTTTCTTACTCCACGAAGTATACTGTTAGTTACAAAAGTGTTGAACGAAGTTACATTTGACTCTTTTTAGTTAAGGGGAAGAATAATTTTAGTTAAGAACAGCGATGAAAGATATCTTTGGCTATTTTTTTCTTACTTAACAAAACATAATGGATGTTATGAAAGTGTTGAAAGAAGTTAATCTTGACTATTTTAAGTTAAGCGAAGTGTTATTTTAGTTAAGAAATGATGAACGTGGCTATTTTTAGTTGAATGACGATGGATAAAGTTAGTTACAAAACTGTTGAAATAAGTTAAGCTTTAGTTGAGAGAAGTGTTATTTTAGTTAAGAAATGACTAGAAAAGATGTTGAATATGACTATTTCAGTTGATTGATGAATATTTTAGTTAAAAAAAATGATGAACGTGGCTATTTTAAGTTGATTGACTCAGGATAAAGTTAGTTATGTAGTAATGAACAGTGTTGTGAAGAACATTCTGAAAACATGGAGAATATGACAAAAAACACTGAAAACATGTAAGAGAAGGTGATGAACTTGTGAAGGACATGCTAAGAACATTATGAGAACATGACAAAGAATGCAGAACACATGTAAGAAAGTTGATGAACACAGTGAACATGCCGTGAATATGAATTTGCAAAGAACATGAAAACATGACAAAGAACAGAGAGTATGAAGAATGAACAATGAACTTGAGAAGAATATGGAGAACATGGAGAATATGACAAAGAAAACATGGAAGAGAATGCGAAGAACACACTGAACTTGTGGGGAACATGAATAATGAGTATAAAAAAGTTGAACAGAGAACATGAAAACCTAACAAAGAATACAGTAAACATGGAAGAAAGGTGAAAAATATGAACTGAACATGGTAAGAATATGACAAAGTATATAGAAAAAATGGAGAAACAGGTGAAAATATGGTTTGAGTGTGCAGAGAACATGAATAGTGAGTATGAAAGTTGTACAGAGAACATGTGATGAACATTTGCAGAACATGGAGTGAACACAGAAAACATAGAAGAGAATGCGAAGAACACAGTGAATAGGGAGAGAATATACAATTACAGCAGAATTATTGAAGGTTTGGATAAGTTGGGGAATGGGCGAGATGAAGGGGGAGTATGGGGTGAGGGCGAAAGGGAGTTGGGGTTGGGGGAGGTAAGGGAGGGAGGGGGTAAGGGAAGGGGGGAGGAGGTAAGGGATGGGAAGGTATAGGGGGGGGGGGGGGTTAAAGGGTGTGAGAAAGGTAAGGTGCAATATGACTGTGTGATTTTTATTACCGTGTGAACAAGCATATTGATGGAGAGGAAATGTTTACTTTTGATAAAGGTGATAGACTGGAGAGCGTCTTGATCTGAAATAATTAAGTTTGATGAACTCAGGCGGAGGACGGGAATTGGGGTTCGGTTACTGACATGATCTTATTTTATTACGATAGAAATATAGCGGTCTTAAATTTCAGGGGGGATTTGGTCTGATAATAATTAACTTACAGGAGCGAACTAAGGCAGGGGACAAGAACTAGAAATCAGTAACACTATTTTTCTTTACTTGCTCAGTAAGAAGAATGTCTGCTTTAAATTTCGGGAAAATTGGCCTGGTACTAAAGAACTTGTACAAATGAACTAAGTTGGGGGACGGGAGTTGGAGCTCAGTAATTATTTGGATCTATTTTACTATGTCTGAAATACAGCAGTTTTTAAATTTCAGGGAAATTGGTCTGTTACTATAGAAGATATACAAATGAACTAAGGTGGGGGACAGGAGCTAGAACTTGTTTATTGGCTCGATCTGATTTACTACGTACGAAATATAACTGCTTAAAATTAGGCAAAAACTGGGTTATTAGTAGCAAAAAACACTTATAAATGTGGTCTCAAACAAATTTTGGTCTTAAAACGGACTCTGATTAATTTCGGTCTTTTACTGAACTCTGGCGAATTTTGGTCTCAAAGTTGACTCTGACGAATTTTCGGGCTTAAAGTTATCTCTGACTATTGTTTTGGTCTGAAACTGATGTCTGTCAAATTTCGGTCTTCTACTGGACTCCGACTAATTTTCATTCTTTCAACTGGTCTCTGTTCAATTTTGGTCTTTTACTGAACTCTCATGAAAATTAGTCTGAAAATGGTCTTTTTACAAATTTCGGTCAATTTCGGTCTTCGAAGGGACTCTGATAAAAATCGGTCTGAAAATGGTATCTGTCAATTTCCGGTCAATTTAGGTCTTTCAATGGGCTCTGTCAAATTCTGGTCAATTTCGGTCTTCAAATGGTCTCTGAATAATTTTCGGTGTTTTTACAGGTGAAATAGCCATAAATGGATATAAAAACTACAACGTGCTGCTAAAATGTCTATTTTCCGTAACAAAACTGCTATGACAATATTCTCTAAAAATAGTCTTTTTACAAATTTCGGTCTTAAACTCGTAAATAAACTTCTATGATCATATGAACTCTGAAATATTTTCATAAAACTGAGCTCTGAAAATTTTTGAATTTCCTCCATAAGAACTCTAAGAAAGTATGAGTGATTTTTGCTCTGAATTTTCCCCATAAGAAACCTGTAAGAACGTATGAGTGATTTTGCAAAAAAAAAAAAAAAAATGACCATAGAGTTTATTTTCAGTAAGAAGGGAGCGGACTTTGCCTCTGAATTTTCTATAAGAAACGTCTATAAACATAAACTTTGAAACATTTTAGGGATTAAATGAGTGGGACACTGCGTCCTCTTTTCCAAAAAACAAAAATCACTCATAGACTGCCATCGCTGCTACTCACCACACCGCTACAACCCCCACCACATAACCTCTCCCACAACACCACAACCCCACCACAACGTCACCACGACACCACAACGTCACCACAACGCCACAACCCCACCACAACGTCACCACAACGCCACAACCCCACCACAACGTCACCACAACACCACAACCCCACCACAACGTCACCACGACACCACAACACCACAACAACACCACAACGTCACCACAACGTCACCACAACGTCACCACAACACCACAACGTCACCACAACACCACAACGTCACCACAACACCACAACAACACCACAACGTCACCACAACACCACAACAACACCACAACGTCACCACAACACCACAACGTCACCACAACACCACAACGTCACCACAACGTCACCACAACGTCACCACAACACCACAACAACACCACAACGTCACCACAACACCACAACGTCACCACAACACCACAACAACACCACAACACCACAACAACACCACAACACCACAACACCACAACGTCACCACAACGTCACCACAACACCACACACAACACCACAACGTCACCACAACACCACAACACACACCACAACACCACACAACACCACAACACCACAACACCACAACACCACACACCACAACACCACAACACCACAACCACACCACACAACGTCACCACAACACCACAACGTCACCACAACGTCACCACAACACCCACAACAACACCACAACACCACAACACCACACCACAACACCACAACGTCACCACAACACCACAACACCACAACACACAACACCACAACCACAACACCACAACACCACAACACCACAACCACACCACAACACCACAACAACACAGCACAACACCATCACCACACACACCACAACACCACAACACCACAACACCACAACCACCACAACGTCACCACAACACCACAACGTCACCACAACACCACAACACCACCACACCACAACACCACACCACAACGTCACCACAACACCACAACGTCACCACAACACCACACCACGTCACCACAACACCACAACGTCACCACAACGTCACCACAACACCACAACACCACAACGTCACCACAACACCACAACGTCACCACAACACCACAACGTCACCACAACACCACAACACCACACACCACAACACCACACCACCACAACACCACAACACCACAACAACACCACAACACAACACCACAACACCACAACACCACAACACCACAACAACACCACAACACCACAACACCACCACAACACCACAACACAACACCACAACACCACAACAACACCACAACACAACACCACAACACCACAACACCACAACACAACACCACAACACCACAACACCACAACATCACAACACAACACCACAACACCACAACAACACCACAACACCACAACGTCACCACAACACCACAACACCACACCACAACACCACAACAACACCACAACAACACAACACAACACCACAACACCACCACCACACCACAACACCACAACAACACCACAACACCACAACGTCACCACAACACCACAACACCACAACACCACACAACACCACAACACCACAACACCACCACAACACCACAACACCACAACACCACCACAACACCACAACACCACAACACCACCACAACACCACAACACCACACACAACACCACAACACCACAACACCACACCACAACAACACCACAACACCACAACACAACACCACAACAACACCACAACACCACAACACCACAACACCACAACACCACCACAACACAACACCACAACAACACCACAACACCACAACAACACCACAACACCACAACGTCACACAACA